TTACTACACCTACCTACAACAACTATATACACACACACACACACACACACACACACACACACACACACACACACACATATATATATATAGGAATTGGTGACTATGCATGTATGTTGTATCATCTACAACTAATATGCAGATAGGTGATACTGAAATGCAAAACGCTTTCAATATCTCTGCAATATGTTTGATTATTCAACAATATATTCTGCTGGCAATCATATGGCAGTAGTAATAGCAGACGAATAGAAGGAACAGATTTACAATATTACAGGAACTAAACATATAGACAGATGAAGTTGGGAAGTAAAGCTGGAATGCAGACGGCAGAAAATTCTTCTCAAATTATTCATTAGAAACATGATTTAATCTTTTAGGAAGTTGGATAATGGAAACACAAAAATGTTTATTTGAGTTCAAGGTAACAAGAAGTTATTATTGACATGAAAAATAGACAACCATATGCTTACCATAAAAAGGCCTGCCTGTGTAAACATATGTCATACGTGACTGTATGGAAAATTGGATTCTTTGATTTGAATAATTATGCCTTGTGAAGAGCACTTTCCACTTCCTCTTTTGTGACAGGCTGCCGTTGCAAGATAAGAGCTGGCATTCTTTGCACCTTTGCCACAACTAGAAGACATAGAGATGGCAAGGCCTTGGAATTAACTTAAGTTATACTGACCAAACAAGCTTAAAGTAACTAAAAGGAATCACACCTTTTCAGAAGAAAAGATTATGTTTGCATTTTCAGAAAAGAAACAGTTTTCTTCCCCGCGTCGACAAACTTCATCAGACTTCGGTAGTCGCCAACATTCTGAATGCTCATCCAATTGCTTTAATCAACCAACATATTTCTTGCTTATTGATTGTCTTGTGGAATCTTCAGAATGAGGACTACATTTGGCAGCTGGCATGAATGATTTAGCTCTGATTAATATCTCAAGTGTCATAGACTAACAGACTGATGCTGTGAACAAAATTACAACTGAAATTCTCTTTTTTGTCTATATTTACAGTTACACACCATGACCTCTCTGAAGTTTAGCTCAATTTACAATTGAACTGTGGTGAATTGAGTTAATAGACTTTAAAGGTTTAGACTCTGTTAGTATTTAATTTCATAAGTGGTACTGTAAGACAAAATTACCACAGTGATTTGTTTCTCTGAGAAGACATATAACTAAGAGTTGTTGAATCAATTGGTCCGAAAATGCCAAGTTAATTACATAACATACAAATTTTAAAAATGGCCACTAACATCTGATATTAACAGAAGAGAGTAGCAAACTGCATGATCTGAGTACATCAAAGAGAACAAAACCTCAAACAGAATAAAAGTGGAACCTGCTTTGTCATCTGGGCTTGTTTTCAATCTTTTGAATTTCAGACCATTGCACCCATGCATATCTCATTCAACAAAGGTTCCTGACTTGCAAGGCGATTGATGCTTCTTGTCTTCCTCCTTTTTTCGGTAACTGTAACATCAACTGGGGACAAAACCAAAGTCTTTGAGTCCTTGACTTCCTTCTCATCAACGTTCACATGAATGACAGTATCAATGTCTTGCAGGTGAGGCCTATCAACGACAGCTGCCTCCTTGCGAGACAGGAGCCCACATTTCCGTAGCAAAGCCTAGCAAGGAAAGCCACCTCCTTTTTGCATGCAGTTGCATCGAACACCAACACTGAGAAGGAAGAGCACCCGTCAAGTCGGAACACCAAGAAGTGTCCAATCTGCATGGCATGGTCCGCAACGAACTCCTTCCATCCACGCTCAAATTGAAGTCCATTGAGCAGTCAGACAAAGCAGGGTAAAGATTGAGGTTTTACTTTTTAAACATTCAAAGTTTAAACTAGGATAGAATTGGATAATCAATAAAGATTAATTACCAAAACGGGGTAAAGATTCATACTTTCTGTTCCAGTTAGTATTGAAAGTTACTGTACCGAATAAATTTCTAATATTTGGTCGAAGAAATAGCCGATGGATTGTCTTGAAGGAACCAAACAACCAATTACGATTGCATCTACACCACTCGTTGTCCATAAAAGGAAAACGAAAAAGGGGAACGAGAGAACTGACCAATCCACTCATAAAAAGATTCGAAATTTGAAGTAGGACCGAACCAACAGAACAGTACCGGGTGTTGGCCATTCTAAGAAAGATACCATCTTTGTTCTTGGTAACCTACTCCGACAGTAAAGATATAATCTTTGACGCAAGAAAGCAAGGGAAACAACCGGCAGCACAGAGTGAGAGGGAGTACCAGGTGTTGGGAGCAGGGGTCGGGGTGGAAGACCTTGTACGAAGTACGGGCTCGACCTCGCCATTGGAGAGTACCTCATCGCCTCAGCCTCTGCTCGGCGGCTTAAATCCATGGGGAGTTTTTGCCCCCTCCTCTTCCGTTCCGTCTCTTCTACTACTACGCTTCTTTCGGAGCCGTTTGCTTTCCTAGCCGTTTTGCGGGCCAATCATAGATCGGGGCTTTAGCCTATGCAATTAGAGCATCTTGGCATCTCGATTTTTAGATTTTAAAAATATATATTAAGTTTTTTATAGTTATAAAAATAAAATATTTAATCTCATTTATCATAACATCATCAAATTTACCAATAAAAGATACAGCAGTATACACAAAAATGATACAAAAATAATAAATAAAAATATAATTTTAATATCTCAATTATATTTTTATTATGTCCTAATTAAAAATTTCCAATCGACTATTGTAATGGTGATAGACGATAGCATCGTCAAAGTCGCAGGTGGCTGTTGTGGTGATAACCGATAAGAACGATATAATGATCGATCTTATCATTGCGATGCAATGAACGACGCAATAGTCGATGAGAGCCATAGTAGTGGCAATAGTTTAATGATAGTGGTGATGGATCTCGAGGATGTCCTTGGAGATGAATAGGGTATAATCCTAGAGGTGGAGCTTCAAGAACTTATGTGACTTCTTATGATGGGAGAGAGAAGAGGAGGGAGAGTGGCAACGAGAGGTGAGGGAAAAAAAGTGGAGGAAGAGGACGAGGATGATGCCCGCGTCAATGCAGAAGCATAATGGTGTCGTGCGGATGTAGAGTAGCATCGCTTTGTTCTACATCGCCCTACATCTGCATCAGCATCTATCCTTTTGCTCTGCATTGCCCTACATCTGCATTGGTATTGACGCAAATGTAGAACGACAAAAAAGGGGAAGAATGATGAAGGATCAAGGAAGGGGGCAAGAAGGATAAGCGTCGGTGCCAATACATATGCAAAGCGATACAAAGTAGAAGCCACGGATGTAGAGTAGAGCGATGTTGCTCTGCTTTTGCATCAGCACAACCATCATCCTTGTCATATTCCTTCTCTCTTTTTGTCTCACCTCTCGTTATCACTCTTCCTCTTCTTCCTCCTCCCCTTGCAAAAGACCGTAAAAATCCCTCAACTCTATCTCCGAAACTCCACCCTACTCATCTCTAAGGACATCCTTGAGATCCACCATCATCAAGTCATCACAGTTGCCATGGCCCCCGCCCGCGCCTCAATTGTCAATGTTCGGAACCACATCGATAAGATTGACCACCACTTCATTCTTACCGATCATTACCACAACAACCACCCACAACTCTTAACAGTGTCATTGTTTGTCGCTACTTATAGTAGTTGACTAAGGAGTTTTAATTATGATATAATAAAAGAAAACATAATTAGAAATTTAAAATTATATTTTTATTTATAATTTTTTATGTTATTCAACATGTACTGTTGTATCTTTTATCACTAAAATCAATTGATAAATGTGATTAAATTTTTTTATTTTTATAATTATAAAAAAATAATATAATTTTTTAACGTCTAGTGATGTTAAAAAAAAGTCTAATTTCCGCTCAGACAATAAATCTTACGAAAAGAGATGATAGACGGACCGCGTGCGTTGTATCATCAAGGCATGATGACGTTTCACTAAATTGATGGATGATGAGTTCTAGTTCCAGCCTCTTCATCATCTTACTCATCTGCCACTCTCTCTTCCTTCTGCCAATGATCTTGATTCCTTTCCTCCTCGTCATCTTTGGCTTTCTTCGTTGCCCCTTTCCCCTCCATCAACAAATTTGATTCCTTCCTTCCCTTGGCTTCCTTAATTACCCTCTTCCCCATTCACCCTGCAAAATGATCTTAGCTCTTTATCTGAGGTGATCCTTTATTGCCTTGGATTTCTCTAAACACTAACACTCGTAAATGGTTGTTATTAAACTTATAAATGAAAATCATTGTATTTTCAAACCCATGCACATCCACCAAGTTCTAAAAAATGGACATTGCTACCTACCTATAATGAATTTTTATAGTAAAATAGATTATGTTTTCAGAAAAACATTGAGAATGTTTCAGTTTTGGAAATAAATATCTCTAGATTCACTCACAAAGGAATACAATTTCATCTGTCAAGTTTAATCAGAACTATAAATGCAAGGAAATGATATGTGCAATTTTGCCTTGTAATAAAAAGGGCGTCACCAGACCCCTGGACCAGTATTCTGCAGCAATCGAAAACATAATGACAATTATTATCACTGTAGTAAAACACTAGCTGGTGATTTAAGAACCCTAAATCATATTAAGAAGTCAAGTTTATTAGTATATTATATAGATTTGTTGAGGCAATAGTTGAAAAGTCTCTACTACAGCAAAACATGGTTCATTGGTGCATCCTTGTTCTATGAGCCTGTTACACTGGATTTAGTCACATATTGATCCAAATATGAAAGAAGTTCACATGGTGATTAAGATTTTCTTTCTATTCTCTTGATTAGTACAAGAATTAAATACCATATAAACTAGTTTAAGCTCACATCAAAAAAGATGGAAAGAACAAGCCCTCTACTGTGATATAATGTGCAAGAAAGGAGTAATGTATCACAAAAGAGTAATGCATCATAAAATTGTCACACTAAAACGAGGCAAACTAAAATCCAAAAGAGGGTTCATCACAGTAAACAGAGTCAACTCAGGCCCTACTTCAACATGATGACCAGTACAGGAAGCAAATGCTAGGAGAAAGATCTTAAGCTTCAACCACCTCAGTGTTCTCAAGAAGTATAGTCTTTGTGGGTTTTGCAAGCAGGTCTGTGTACTCTTGGAAGGGAGATTTGCTGAAACGAGTCTCCATCCAGAAGTCAGGTGTCAGGAAACCGTAGGTCTTCATAAGACAATCAAAGGTAGCCTGCAAAAAGCAAGGAATAAAATTTCCTATGTGATAAATACAATGGGGAAAGGTACAAGCATTTGCAGCTATTCTACATTCGTTCATGTCATATATAATACACGTTTTCTTGAAACAATTGTTGCAGACATCAGGATCCTCAAACAGCTGTTGCAGATATCAGCTATGCTACCAAATGCAAGTCTTAAATATGAAATCTTTTGAACCAACCATCATCTTCACACTGCAACTATTTAAAAAAGGGCAAGTCCGCAATTGTTCAATCATATTGTATCCAATCCATCCGACTCCCATGAGCTGATTAGTCTATTACAGTGACTAATATTCCTAAGAGATCAGTTGGCAAGAGAAGATCCCAATAAAGTAAAAAACCTTAAGCTGGGAAGGTCCAAACCTCTGTCATGTGCCACGGTTTTCCAAGTCAACGACAAAGTATTTAGGGTCTAATATAGTGGTTTGAATTAAACAGGGCTCTTGTAATTGAACACCACATGTGATAGATGTGCATGTCTTCAAATCATATTTTGAGGAGGAAACGGCTGTCTAGACTCTAGACCAAGTGTTTTGAGAAGAAATTGAGTCTAGATCAAGTGTTTTGTGGGCAGAACTTGTATAAGAGTATTTAGGATAAAACTGCATCTAGATGAAGTATTTTCTGGAAGAAATTTTGCCCACTGCTTCTGACCACATGCCTCTCCTCACGCTATACTGTATGATCTCTCTCTCTCTCTCTCTCTCTCTCTCTCTCTCTCTCTCTCTCTCTCTCTCTCTCCCCTTGCAACTAACCGATGCAAGCAGGAGCTTTCATATAAGGTAATCTGCAAATCCCACTTTGATATATAATTTCCAAACATACAGGATCCGTGAACCTGTTGTTTATACTCTACTGCAGAAATTTTTTATTCTTATGGGAGCAAAGAAACAATGTATCAGCCCTAAAACAACCTTCTTTTATGCAGATTGAAAAGTATATTTATAACTGACTAAAATATGTCTTACTACAGGACCAGGCTGCGTCACTCACAACAAATCTAATAAAACACTTGATAGAAAGTAAGGTAGTCACTATGTGATCTAGCCACAAGATATCCAACTTAACAATGTTAGATTATAAAATAAATTTCAACACTTTAGTATTTTCTACAATACAAAAAGGCCCAAAATAATTTAAACAAAATATAAGAAGGATGAACAAAGTAGAAAATATAGGAACAAAAAGGAAAAGAATGAAATTCTCATTAGAATCATCAACTACAAAATTTGTATTTCTAATGGCTTTTGATGACAACAATTTTTCAGTAAAACATAAGAACTACAGACCTACAATAAAAGCAACAACTTCAAATTCAAAAAAACCTATAGCTTCCATATTTTCCCACCCTAATTTTTAATCCTATAATTCTCCCTACACGCTTCCTATACCTTTCCTTTGACAACAACAGTATTTCACTCCTTATTCAGCAGATACTTTCACATGAGTTCAACTATGAAAAGAGAAGAGCAGCAACAAGCGAAAAAGTAGATATAAAGTAAAATAAGTTAATTAATAACCAACAAAACCAACATACTTCAAATCTGTATTCCATTTACAAGTTAAAAAAGTTCCACTATAACAATTGAAAACAGGTTGAGATTCTCAAACGTTTTCCAACAGTAGTTACATAGTAACATTTTTATTGTTCATTATGTTGTAAAAACAAAAAACCCAATTAGATATGACATCGAGATATATAATAACAGTAGCACTACAGATTTCTGCCAAGCTTTATATGCCTCATCGAACTGAACTAGACGACAATGATGGCAAACATCATACTATAGCAAAGAAAGAAAACAGAAAACTCATTCATCAATAACATGCAATATCTAGTACAATTCTCCAGTTCATTTTGGACACAAACACCTATTTGCAATAGTACATACAGGTCGAAGGACCACCTATGCATAGCTAAATCCAAATCAACATGATTTATATCTGGATTCATAATGAAGAAAATGTAAAGTTTTTATGTATGTGCAGATCCAGGCTAATAACGATTATAAACTACATGTATATCCAGAGCCAAGATAACTCGAGATCAGCATTTATCCCAATCAAATGCATAACCAATATAAATGAAATATATAATTCTTCCTAAATAATACTAAGAATCAACCGCCTTAACCACAATCCCTCGCATGAAAGAAAACAACTGATGGAGCACAACACACACTGACCTTCACAAAGTTCCCGAGAGTCTTGGTCGAACCACGAGACGAAGTGAACACGTCCTCAATCCCAGCAAACTGGAGCACCTTCTTCGGGACACGAGCAGCCACGATCCCCGCCCCCCTCGGCGCGGGCACCATTCGGACGGTGACCGACCCGCACTTCCCGGTGACCTTACAGGGCACAGTGTGCGGCTTCCCGATCTTGTTCCCCCAGTAGCCTCTCCTGACGGGGATCACCGACAGCTTGGCCAAAATGATGGCGCCGCGGATGGCGGTGGCTACCTCCTTCGCGCACTTCACGCCGAGGCCGACGTGGCCGTCGGTGTCGCCGACGACGACGAAGGCCTTGAAGCGGGTGCGCTGGCCAGCGCGGGTCTGCTTCTGGACCGGCATGATCTTCATGACCTCATCCTTGAGGCGGCCACCGAGGAGGGTATCGATGATCTGGTGCTCCTTCACAGGTAGGGAGTGGAGGTAGATCTGCTCGAGGCTAGTGATCTTACCCTCCTTCACGAGGCGGCCGAGCTTGGTGACGGGCACCCACTTCTCCTCCTCATCACGCCGGCCGCCACCGCGCCTTCCGCGCCCACGGTCTCCCCGACCCCGGCCGCGGCCGAACCCGCGGCCAAACCCGCGCCCGAAGCCGCCACGATCGCCACCGCCGCGCTCAGCCATGCTTGCCAGTACGGATGGGATGAAGGTTTCAAGGACTTCGCCGCAGAGAGAGCGTGTGAAGGCTGTGGATAAGAAAGAAGCGGCGTTTATAGTGGGAGCGGCAAGCCAACATTAGGGTTTCGAAGGGTTCGATTACCGCTGGTTGGTTCGGTCCGGTTCAGCCTTGGTTTTTTCCTTTCCAATATGAACACTGGCCCGGTTTTCTCCTTTTCCGATTCATATGCTGAATCGATCTAATTATAATATTTATAATAATATCAAAAATATTATAATTCGGTACAAAATATTATAGCATAATATTTTAATATAAATCTTATAAAATATTATAAATATTTTTTTTTAATAATATGAGGAAAATATTATAGTATAGTTTTTTGTACTGTGTTATAGTATTTTCTTGATTCGATCAGTCAATATAGAAAAAAGAAAAAAAGAGGTATGTGGCTTCTAATATTTTATATAATTATGTATATCTAATCAAATACATCCAACTATGTATATCTAATCAAATAAAAAAAATTAAAAATATATTTAAAAAAGGTAAGGATTATGGTTATATTTTGAAATACATTTACATTTTCAATGTGCAATTAAGGAAAGGAATTTGACTAAATGTGTATGGTATGCTTTGAGTGCTTGATAGATTATAGATATAAATTATATTTAAATATGTGATTATTAAAATTATATTTCAAATGTTCATTAAATATTTTATGATAAAATTTACCCTTTTAATTTTTGTAATATTTATTCAAGGTTCATATATAAGATGAGAGAGAAGGCCAAGAAAGGGACTAGGAGAACAAATTGCTGAGATAAAGGAAGTGTGATGAACTCCTCCGTTATAGGAGGGGATTTTAGGGTTTTTTTTTGTTAAGTTAGTAATTCTTTTAAATTAAAATTGGTCTATTTTGATATGAACCAATTAATTAAATCGAGGAAGAATATCATCTATCATTTATAGCCTTCAAAACTAAATTATTGATGATCCGGTGGTGAGTACCAAATCAATTTATTAAAGATAGAGGATTTGAAATTTCATCCACATATTTTTCATACATTAAACATATGATGGTAATATACCAAATTAATTGGAGGCTTGAATCATCATTCATATATTTTATATCCTAAGCATTAGGTAATGTAACAGATTTACTTATAAAAAATTAAGAATATAAAAAATATTATTTAATATATTTAGTTGATAAAAATTTCGATAATATATTTCGTCACTCGAAAAAACAATAAGGATAATTTGAAGAGAAAAAAATGGTTCAGTTTCGATAGAAATTTAGCGTTCTATTCATTTCCATTTGTGATTAAACATCTTTGAGAAATTAGTATTCTTCTGTCTCAAAAATTTCCTCAACCACTTGAATATGTCATTATCCATTACAAAACACCTGTCGTCATCCACTCCACTCTTCACGCTTCAGCCATCAGACATTGATTTACACAGTAATGTCAACGTCAACATCGATTTATTAGGCATTATTAGATTTGACGTGAAGATATACAGATGAGTCAAAAAAAAGTCAAACCTCCATCGGCACAAACGCCTCCCACGCAACGCTGTCCACAGGGGTCAAACCACGCCCACCGCCCAATCCTCAACGTCACCTCCACGAATGATATTCTGACACGTGTGAGAGGACGTCTTCTTCCGCGACGTGGCGAGTGTTGAGTTGACAAATTATTTTGTCAAACGCAGACGCTCGCGATTCTGGAGTCGGATTTACCTTCGTTTTTACTGGAGAAATTGTGGGTCCCACCCTCATCATCCAGTGGAAACGCAAGTGGATAATTTCGTCGGCAAATTCTCCCACCACGTCACGCCGCTGCCACCGCCTCTGGGTCGGGGTTCGCAGGAAAAGAGGGAAACGACATCGGCAGGGAGACGCGAGAGCTCGCTCGTTGATGACTCGGTTGACTGATGCAGGAAGGGGCTTTGCGAAAGAGGTAGAGAAGCCAAACCAAAGCAGAGAAGCCCTCCTTAACACGCCTCTGCTTTGATAAGCCAAAGCGAAATGGAGAGAGCACCGTCGTGCCTTCTTCTCCACTCCTCTCTCTTTTGCGGGTGGCGGTGGTAGCAGTGGTAATACTGCTAACCGTGATAGCCTCACCAAGGCCCCCCTCCGCCGCCTGCCGAGAACGTCCTCCATCGCTGCTGGATCTGCACCCTCCCTCCCTTCTCCACTCTCTCTGGGGTTTCGATCTCCCCGTGTCCTTCCTCTCGTCTTGAGAAATTAGGGTCTTGGAAGGCCACCGCCTTTAGCTGCTTGGATCAAGAAAGGTTGCTGCTTTTTCTTTGGTTCCCCGTGATTTCTTGGTCGACGATGAAGCGGCCGGGATCGTCCTCGTACGGGGATGATTTCGACGACGATGACGGTATAGGCGGGAGGATGAGCTTCAAGGACTGGCCGAGGAGGAATCAAGATCCCGACCGCTCGTCGTCGTCGTCGCACCGGCGACTCTCCTACTCGAAGACGGAGGGTCCGCGGAAGGTGGCGCCCTCCTCGTCGTCCTATGGTCGGTCGCTCGACGACGACTGGGAGCCGGCACGGCACACCCGGAGACGTTATGATCATGAGCTGGAGTCCTTAGATTGGCGGAAGGGCCACAGTCGGTACAGGGTTGGTGGTGATCGAATGATGCAGGTCTCGTCGCCGAGGGTCTCGTATGGGGGCGACCTGATGCACCGTTCAGAGAGCTTCTCGGGGCTGAGAAGGGACGTCCCGAAGGGTTTCAGGTCGGAGAGGGACCGGTTGAGGAGGGACGGGAATGGTAGCTCGTCGTGGTGGAGATCGAGAAGCTCGAAGGAGCTCAGTGTTGAGGAAGTGCGGAAATCGCCGTCGATTGATTCGGATTCAGTGGGGAGACGGAGTCATGCTACGTCGCCAGATGATCATAGAGGGAAAGTGAGGTCCAAGGACTCCTCGAGTGGGCTGCGATCTACAAGAGTCGAGGCAAAGACCGTAAAGACAGTGAAGCCAATCAGAGAAGGTGGCAACAGTAGCGAGATGGAAGAGGGAGAGCTCGAACCGGATCTGGTGTCAGAAGCAGAACCTGTAGCTGAACCTTCCATGGGTAGCAAGACAGCAACTGGAGTGGAATCAAAGAACTGCAAGGACAGAAATCCAGAGTACAATAGTCTTCCTGAAGAAGTATCAAAGGAGATCTTATTAAGTGGAAAGATGTTGGACATTCATGGTAATGGTTCTCTTGCTGTAAAGGAAGAAGGAAAGTTAACAGAAGTCATAATGGACACAGGAAATACTAGTGATGAGATAAAAAATGAACAGTGTGATGCTACGAAGGAGCTCGATGAGAGTAGCAAGTTAACTTATCCAATAAACATGAGTGACCAGGTAAGCAATGACCGATGTGATGCTGTTAAGGAGTTGAGTGAGAGTAGCAGGGAAGGAGAGCAAAAAACTAAGCGCACTAATGGGAATAATGAACTGGAGGATAAATTTTGTGGAAAGAAGTGTGCTGCTGTCAACAAGCTGGTTGAGAGTAGGAGGGGAGGTGAAGGAACAACTAAGGATTCTATTGGAGATACCGAGGTGGAAGTTAAATTTTGTGGGAAGCAGGAAGTCTGTAAAGAAGAAACCTTGTGCTCACAGTTTCAAGGGGAAAAACTGGAAGGCAATGATGAAGAGCAGGCAATTGAAGAAGCAGCAAAAGAGATGACATCTGCTATTTCCCCTTGGCATGAAGAGAAGTTAGTGGAGAATAAGGAAGAAGCCAAACATAATGAAACTATAGTTGAAATCGAGCAGGCAGTCGAGGAAGAAGTGAAAGAGATGACGTCTATTATTTCCCCTTCGCAGGAAGAAAAGTTAGCAGAGAGTAAGGAAGAAGCCCAATCCAGTGAAGCTAAAGTTGAAACCGAAGAGAAGCATGAGATGGGTAATGAACAAGGTATGGAAACTGAAGTTAATTTTCAAGAAAGATTTGAAACTGCCATAGGGCTTAAAGTTGAGCAGAAAGAACAAAGAGGTACTGATCTTGAGACTCAACCAAAGGGTGCTGTTAGCTTGTTAGATCAAATTAAGGAAGTTACTTGTGAGACTAACCATGAGCTAGTGACGCTGGCGCTTATGAGTAACCGCCAGAACAGGGAGAACTACAAGGGAAAAGGTAAGGGGCTCGCAATTTCTCTCTTAACTAAAGGGGATCTTGTAGAAGATGATTGTGCCATGGAGGGCCCTAGTGGAAGAGACCTCGAGTTGATTTTCAGATCTGACATTAGCCAGGCAGATAAAGCAAGCTCAAGTACGCTTGTCCCCCACGCTCTTGCAGATGAGAAACTCAAAATTGAACCTCTTGATCTCTCTCTTGCTCTGCCAGGTGGTTTATTGGATCATTCTTCAAAACAGTCAAAGCCAAAACCTGAAATCCCAAGCTGTGCTAGGAGCATCCAGTCTTTTCCATCCTCATTCAGAACAAATTCAGATGGATTTGAAACTTCCATGTCATTTACAAGCTCTCAACCCTTCGTTCATAATCCCAGTTGTTCTCTCACTCAAAATTCGTTGGACAATTGTGAGCACTCTGTTGGTAGCCATCCTATATTACAAGGAATGGATCAGGTTTCTGGTGGTCTGATATGGCAGGCTCAGGCTTCAAATGACTCTAGAAGGAAAGGATCTAGCTCTTTCTTCCAAAGGGTACTTATGAATGGTAATTCTGCACATGATTCACATCATATCATGAATGCCGATCATCAGTCAAAGTCCAGTGGCTTAGTCCAGCAGTCAAGCCTTTCAAGACAGATGTCCCTGATGAACAGCCATGGTTCTCATGATATGACATCTCAACTTAACAAGGATAAGAAGCTGCTCGCTGGGGAGAGAAGTAGCAGCATTGTGTGTAGGACCGAGCAACAGGATAGCGAGCAGCTTGTACTTAATGGTTCTTGTGTCATGGAGAAAATTCTCTCTAAAATTGTGGTAGAACCTTTATATCTTACTGGAAGAATGCTTCAGGAAATGACAGATCATTCAGTAGCATACTTGAGGGAATCCATTTCGGAGATGCTCGCTAATACAAATAAAAGAAGGCAGCTGTAT